GCCAATTCGTGCTGTGTTTCATAAGTGTTTGCCCTTCGTGATGTGCAAAGTTCAGTCGCTGGTGAATATTGATTTTCCAGTATTCAATAAGATCTTTCAGTGATATTAAAACCATGACTAACGTTGTAGTTGAACACACCCCTTGGCTCAGTGCCAAAGGATTTTTGAAAAAAAAAACATTTGTAAGATTGCATAGGCGATCCCCATATACTAAACCTTCGCGAAAGCGTTGCGAGGAAACTTGTGCTCCTTATTGAATAGCCCATTCTTCTGGCCAAAGGCTATTCAGTGAATATTTCAATGTCAGGACTGTTTTCAGACGAATTCCCCTAACTGAAGAAGCAGTATTTATGGCCCTTATCAGCGCATTTCAACACAATTCCCAGTTCGAATGTGGAGCACTTGTCTGGGGTGGGGAGGGAAGGATGTTTATTGAATCGGACACCGCATACACACGTGATCGTGAGAGTACAGCTTTTATACAGTTGAGGGTGACGAACTTTATGACCATTTAGACCCGTCCCCGATCGAAGGCTGCATATGATACTGTAGTGGAATCGGGCCAAAAAATGATTGCCTTTGGAAGTCCGCTAGGCTCTACCAAGAAGTTTGATTAACTGCGCGTTAGACTTCCTACAACGCAGAGATACTGAATCACTCATTAGTTCGAACAATTCTTCGCAAAAGGAGGCAGGTGGTCCAAAATGTTGAAATACACGGAAATATACAAGAAATGAGATTTGAAAATGATAAGTGTTATTCCATCAAACAAGAAGATAAATGCAAATTTCTTATGCTAAATTAGTGAAAATCAACTGAAATGTGAAAAGAACGAAAAAGGCTGGCACATTTTAATAAGTGGCGTAGGATGATGAGCATACACCGAGGATAACATACAATTCAATTGAAATGACGTCAGAGAATTACTGTAAAAAACGGGGCTCATGTTCTAATACGGTGCTGTTGTCAATGAAGGAATGTGCAAAACGTAAGTTTTGTCACATAAAGTCGGAGACGGAGTTATTTATTATGGAAGCCTTCATAGTAATAAATCCCCTGATTGCCTTGAAGTAATTTCCTTTCTCTGATAATTAGTTGCAAGATTTTTGAACTTTTGACACATACTGCCTATTCTTCTATGGAAAAGAGTGTGATTGCAAACACAAAAAAGCAAATTTTCCAGAAATTACAAAAACCTCAGGAAATCGAACGCTTGCTGAACTTCTAGTGTTACCAAAAGAAGCCGGTATTCATTGAATCTTAGGCTATAGTGAGTGAATAAGTGCATGCTGCAAACAAAGACCGAAGTCAAGAAGTTAAGGTAATAGATGAGAAGAGTGAAGTAAGCTTAGCGAACACGAAACCATCCTCCTCGGATTATGAGGTAAGCTTAGAAAGTCCTGTCAAGCACCGTATACCGAAAATTGCCGTAAACTTAAACAAACGATTCTGCAATCACACCAAAAGCCTTACTCGTTTACGCCAACGTTGTGGCAACTGCTTTAAAAATTGTTTCCTAGAAACAGTGAATGCATATTCTTGGAATACTTTTGATATGTGATACTTCGCATCAGTTCATGATGTTGTGATGAAAAGCTATGGCGGACTAAGTGAAAATTCTGGCGTTTGAGAACTCTGAGATAAAGACAAGTAGCATAAAGTACAAGTCGTGGATGCCAGTTTGCCCTTTGCAGATGTGTTTTCCTATAGATTTAAGCCTGTACTTCTTCCGATGTTTCTTTATCTTCTGTACCACCTGTCGTGGCATTCATCATCGATTTGATTGAGCGGGCGCCCTAAGGTCTACATCGTCCCTGTCGCGAGCCAGTGTAGCCTATCTCTTCGCTGATGGGGCACATCGTATCTCATACTTTTGATGTCATGCTTCCTCAGCTCGTCGAGCAAATATGATTTATGAATCATTACAGACAACTGACTGTGGCATGGCTATGCCACCATCAAAAAAGTGGACTGTTCGTGGACTGGCACACCTTTAAGGACCCCTTATCATAGTGAAGAAACCAAAATTTCATCCCACACTCATCGCATTTTCACTGTCTAAATATTCGATCTTGCTTTTTTGAGGCTTTCTACTTTTAGAAGGAACACCCGCATGTGAGTAGGCAATGAGAAATCGAACAACTCAAAAGGAACAAACGCAGAATAAGTCGATGAAATTTTCGGACACTCCTTCAATGGGCTGTGCGTTTTTCCAATAATGGCCCTGAGACTCCAAGAATTTAGGCAGACATTTGCATTTTTCGACCGAGTCGATATTTTGCGAGAAAAAAATGTGGATATTCTCCAATTGTCTTTCTTGGAATCTAGCTAATGAGCTAGTCGTACTTCTTCCGTCATGACTCTGACGTTGATTCAGCTCTCAGTGTGACTGGAATCAAAGTAGGTTGCATATATTTAAGGTACAGACTCCTATTTGCCGTTGCTGGTCAGAACTGCAAGTGCTCCTTCACCCAAAATCTACTCAACTTTATATATTTACCATACAACTTTCCTATCCTCCAGAGTTAGTCGCGACACGACATCCCAGCTACATTTTTTTTTGAAAATAATTGAAATTTCGTTGGGTAGATGGTGCAATGACGCGTGCGCACTATCACGCACGTCTGGTGCGCAGTGCGAATCCTGGGCCGGTATGCGCTCAGACCAACCACGCCATCTATCCCATCGGGGTCAATTAATTGGTATCAGACTTGTTTGGGAGGACAAAAGCAAAGGTCTGTACATCGACAGGGTACCGCAAGCCATTGAGTAGGCCAAGTACGCATTGAATACGCCACTGAAAATCTAAATGGAAGTTGAACACGGGGCCCATCCCAAAACAGGATCCATTAGTACCAAATATTTTGTTCATAACGACTTAGCCCATTTCCTTTCTTTTTATTCCATTGAACCGAGCCTTTATTTTTGGCATTTATTGTAAAAGTGCCCTTTTTACTGTAGCAATAATATAACTGCAAGTAGAAAAACGTCCATTATCGCACGTTAATGATTATTCACGTTCTGAAATTTTAGTAAACCGCTGCAAGGTCTTCGCCGCTGTTGTAATGTTATTGTATTGCAGTCGTGTAAGCGTGTTGGAGTTCAAACCAACGTTGTCATGGAAAACGCCATGGCCCTGCACTTTAGTATAAAGAAATTTTCACAATCCGAACTTTATACTTCGAAAAGCTGCACTGGCATTTGCGCATTTCCTCTCCTTTACTCCTCAGGCTCCAATGAAAGAGCCGCCGTAAAACTCAACCGTGCCAAAACTAGGGGATCAAAAACTATTTCCTGCAAGAGGTCACAATTCAACTAGAATACTTCAGCAACGGCTTGACACTCGATTTGTTTACAAGTTCATTTCGGGTGCAAACAACACAAAGAAAAAGAAAATATAATAACAAACAATTTATTGATAACAACAAAATTAGAACACCATGTTGTGAGGATATTGCCTCTTACCCAACATGAATCTCGATCCCAAATAACCAAAGAGGAACTTGTGATCAGGGTGTTTCTTAATAGCTGCCAGGATAGGTTTATCAATGGCTTTCTGATCTGTTTTCCTTTGCTCGGTGACCTGCAAAGCGGAGATTCTCAAATATTACGAGAGCTCTTTGGGCGACTAGGCGTTCTTTGAAGAAGACAAAATTCTGCTGAATTTCAGTTGTGAAGGCAAAGCACAAATTATGAGCGAAAAACAGACCTGATATTCAACCTTTCCGGCAGCAAAAATGTTCTCTCCCTTCTTGCCAGGCAAAGTCTTTCTCTTGAAGTAGTCATCATTGATGTGGTCTGGAATCTTCACACCAGATACATCGAGCTTCGTTTTAGTGGCAATGACGAAGGCCTGGGCAATTCTTCGTAGAGGGAAATTGTTCAATTTGTGAGGACCTGAAAAATGCAAACATTATAAACTTATAATGCCTAATCATCAGGAAAGCTTGCGCATGAAGGCTGTAATAGTTTTATTAATTTAAGTTCTATGTGAAATGTTACATACGTCGGGACCCTATTGATAGTCGACAAAGCCCAGTTTGTCAAGAATCTTACAGCACTGGATTAGCAAGTGAATGGAAATGGAAAGGCAAAAGTCTTGGAACAGGTGAGGTACACATTTTTCCCTCATACACTGTATTCTAGAGCAACTGCAAGGTAATTAAGGAAAAAAAACATTGGCCTCGAAACTCATGGTTGCACTAGCTGAGTGGAGAGCGATTCAAAGTCGCTACTCCGGGTTCCTTGCTCTGTTGTTGCTCTGTTGTTACAAGGTCCGAATGGGACTTGCCAAAACAAATTGAAGGAAACTTGAGTATTTACTTTAATGTAATTAATAACTGTAACTAAGAGTAACAGAATATTATGATAACAACTCTCGAATTTTTTCGGTAAAACAGCTAAAATAATCCGCACAGATGATCTGACTTGAAAGGACAGATCAAGAGACTTCACAGGAAAAGGTGGGGCAGCCGTTTCTTACTTAACTAAGAAATTTAACATTCGTTCCTCCAAACTTTTTTTGACCACGCCAAAACTAAGTTATACAGATACGAAATCGAAATTTGGAGATGTATTGATATTGAGATATGGAGATTCAGATTTTCCAAAAAAAGTACCAAGGCTGGCAGGCCTTTCAAAGCAACATTGGCACCAACGTTACAATGTTGAAAAGCCGCAATGCTCGTCCGCTTAGTGAGCGGAAAAGATCTGCAGCAAAACCTCCGAAACTTGCTCATTGCTCAACCGCTTTGAAGGCTTATTCAGAGGAATTCCAATAGCCTCACCTATCCACTTCTTTTTCTGACCTGTCGATAACCATAAATAGATCAGAAACGAGTTCTGTCTTAGGTTCAGATTCGCCTCTTCATGGTTTGATATTTTTGTCTTTTGTTAAGATCTTGTTTGTAAGATTTTTCGCGAAAAATCGCAACATCGAGAGTGATAATGAAGATTTCGGCGTTGACTAATACCCTCGTTCTTGTCACATTCAAAATCGTAGCGACGTTTAAATGCGCATTCGATCTGGTAGAGCTACTTCAGGGAACAAGTCATTCACAATCTAGCATTATCACCCTCCTGTGGCAGTCTGACACCACTTCACAAATCCAGGGATAAAATACAGTTCGAGGAGATAACCAACAGGGTGAATCTCAGAAGAAACATGAAACCACGGCCCACTGCGCCCTACCCCGCCACCTTCACATAAAGGAAGATTGACGCTGAAGTCTGAGCATTTTTTACAGCCAAATGGATTGGTGCGATGTTGTATTTATCGCAGACGATGCTGCAAGGCCCCCGTTCATAGAAAAAATTTTATAGATTGAACATACTACAAAAAACCCCAGAGGATAGATTAAAGTTTCTCCCGCCATCGCATGCAAATTTCAAACACAACAAAGTTAAGACTTCAGAAGAATGTAGTTGAATAAGTATAAATGAGTACAAATTCATACCAGTGACGAGCAGCAGACCAGACTTCGGCAACTGCTTCAGGAACACGACACGCTTCCCCTTATGACGACCAGCAAGAACAATGAGCACAGTTCCTGGGACGAGGGATTTCCTAAGAGGAACCTTCTTGGGATGCCCAAGCTTGAATTTGGGTCCAGTTCGTTGAAGGGGAAGTGTGAGTGGCTGAAGAAAAAGATATTCACAATAGCAAGGCATATTCAAAGAAAAAAAGGAATGGCATCAAAACAGTTTGTCTGGCATGGAGGTGGAGTAAGCGGGCATGGAGCGAGGCCTACTCGCATAATATGCCTATTTGATATTCGAGAACATTTTAGCACTCCACATTCATCAGAGAATGCGGAGTGACTCTAGTCTCGAACATGGGCTAACACAGATAATAGACAAATTAGTTTGCAATAAACCTCAGCGGACTTCTTTACAAGTGGCTTCTTGGCTCCACGTCGCAGATACATCCTCGCGGCTGAAAACCTCGACACCGCAGGTGACAGGTCGAAGTTACGACCAAGGACTGGAACGTTCCTTCCACCCACCATTTGATACCTGAAATTCAAAACACGTTTGAAGAAGCCACAACAAAAATATCAAAGTAAGCAGTTCAGAGCGCGTACGTTTAGTTAGCGGAAACAGTTGACGCACCTAAACAGATTAAGAAGAAGACGACCATGACACACTAATCCACATAATTAGACAAACTCGAACCTCTACGAATTCGGTAGAAATAAAGATTCGCAGAAAACCGAAGGGAATAGCAATACCAGCAACATTTAACATTACACGATGAGTACAAAGTTAATCAATAACCATCAATTTAACAAATGCTTTGAGCAGGGCCGTAAGCAGGGGGTATGCAGCCAAAACTCCAGATTTACGTTAAAAATCCGCGCTTTCAATTGTGGCCGCAAATAAAAGTAATTCGTCGAAAACGAAAAAACCTCGATATATAATATCAGATGAATAAACCTCTAAAGAAATAACAATGAAACAACATAAAGCACCTAGTACGAAGAAGATTTACCTCGTTTGCCTAAAAGTCGGCCATAAGGAACAAACCATTCGCACGGCAAACAATGGGAGCATAAAAACGTAAAGTTCATGTAATTACACAGAATCTCGACCTCCAGCTTGAGAAAGTTTTGAAGGTATCAGACCAGTTCTCAAAAAACTTATTTTTCAATCAAAGTAAAATAAAATTCATTTGGAAGTCGGCAGTGC